CTCCAAGGGAGCAGGAGCAGGGGGAGAAGGTGGAGGAGGAGGAACTGCTGTGGCCAGGCCATCTGTTGCACCTGCTCCACCTGCTCCGGGACCGGGAAACGAGGGAGCCAGCGCCACGCTCTGCAAGAACGCCGGACGAGCACTCATCCGCATGATTTCATCCAACAACGCGCCGGAGGAGGAGGACGACTTTGATATTATGGGCAAGGTGAATAGAACTGGGGGATGGGGTTAAAATTAAAAACCACTGTGTCCTTCTTGTCAATTAGATAGCTTAGGAAATAAAGTCAGTAAAGAGGAGTAGGTGAAAAACTACAAAATGTTGTTAGTACCCATTACCTTGAACTAGAAATTACCATTAAAAATGTTTAAAAAAGCCATTCACAGTTAGTTTTGCTTAAAATTAGTTTAAGTTATATTTGAACATTATTGGCGAGAGAAAGCCCAATAAAATATAGTTTATAAAACTGGGGAAAGGGGGAACGTTAAAGAACTTGTCAGGGCCTTTTTGAAAATCAGATAGTGAAGAAAATAAAAAATGTAGTCAAACTAAGTTATCAGCTTCACTGGTTTGGCAGTGCAAATACCAGACACTTATTTGCATCGACCTTGGGTTCCATTTAGTTATAAAAAATACCTCCCTCATCACTGCACTTACTCCAATAAAATAAGAAAAAAAGCGTCCCTTTCTTGATTCAACTTGTCAACTGCCAATTTGCATTTTCAAAAGGCGTCAATAAGGGAGTGCCAAAATAAAATATATATTGTATACATACTCTTATGGGTATATTTATTTGCCAGTCGAGGAGTCTGGGAGTCGAGTGCTTCACCTTCAGCTTCCCCGAGCAACTTGTTCGTGAGGCCGCAATTTGATTTATGTATTATACCTTTTTGTTTGACAGCCTGCGACTTTTACGAGCCGGCTTTTATTGGCTGCGTCCCTGATCGGCTTTTGGCCTGATTTACAATGTGATTTACATAAGCAGTCGAAAATAAAGTCATAAAATTCAATAAAGTGCAGGGTGACAAAGGGAATTAAATGGACAGACGTAAGAAACGAATCAGAAAGTTGAGAGCAAAGTTTTTGTGATATTCCATGGCTGCTGCAGCTGCTTTTGATTAGAATAATTCTGGTGAATTATGACAGGACTCCTGGCGGCGACTTCCTGTCAGCCAGCTGCCAAGCCAAGAAGTAAAAATGAAAAATATATAAAACAGGAGCTGCATAAAAATTTCATTTATTTGTCGCGCTCGTTAAATGTTGAAGAAACAGGGGGCACAAAGCATTTGCATAAATCCCCCGAGGCAGCTTAAAGCCATTTAAAGTGTGCAAATTAGCTGGCTCCAATGAAAGCAATTATTTAAGCAATCTCCATTTTAATTTCAGCGATGCATAGAACAGGTATAAATATTCAGTGCAGGGAAAAGATTTTATAGCCATTTGTATTTCTTTAAGAAAAAAATCTGAGCTACTAGAATAAAACAGTTACTAATAATCACTTCCTCTTTATAAATATTTTATTTTCTTTCAATTGCAAGTTAACTTCAATAAATATTTAAATAGCTTAATTTATTGATAAATATCCCCAATTATTTTTATTAATTATAAATAATTCATTTTTTAAACCAATAAGCTTAATGCAAATCTTTAAAATAAAAACAATATGTATAAGAATTCAACTCAACTCCTATGCATTTAAAACTGGAATCCAACAAAAATCTATTTGATTAATATGATATGATAGGAGTAAATGAGATAGCACAAAAAATATAACATAAAGAAACATCATTTGAAATCCCAGTTTCTCTGATGTTTTATTTTCTGTGTTTGAATAGGTTTGCGCAATGCTTTTCATGTTAAATTTTCGTCTAGTTAGCAGATGGCAAACAAGGTATTCCCTGGGAAATCAGCAATTGCAGTGTTTGCATAACCGAGCCAACTTTGCGTATCCCAGCAGAGTCAATAGCAGCTAGCACCAGGACCTTTCTGAAAGGATTTCTGGCATAAGCTGTATATAAAGGGTATAATGGGGGAGTATCCTGCCTGGCTGGAGGTTGAAAACGAGAGCTTTCAGCACTCCCGGCTGGCATGTAAAATTCATAGGCAGCTCATTAAATATTTAGCTGAAAACGTTAGGAAATGGCATAAATTATTATGCAGAAAAATCGAACCATGACAATGTACATAACAAATTACCCCACTTACATATCACATGGTTTTCTCTGGCTTTTCTTGGCTTTTCTCGACGCCCCCCTCCCCCCGCATATAGGTCATAATGCTGGGCGATTCGGGAGTGGGCAAGACCTCACTTTTGATCCGATTCCGCGATGGTCGCTATGTGCCGAGCTATTTCCTCAGCACGGTCGGCATTGATTTTAGGGTAAGCGCTTTATTCCCGCCAAGTTTGTTCTGTTCTATTCTGTTTGTTCAAATCTGTGTGTTGTTCAGTTCCCTTTTTCTATATACTGTTGTCATTGTCATTATCCTTGCTGTTGTCGTTGTTATTGTTGTTGTTGTTGTGGATACTGTTCATTGTTGTTCTTTCCTGCTAAGTGTTTTCTCCGTCTCTCATAGTTTAACTCACATCTCTGACTCTGTCTGTCTACTAAATCTACATCATTTATCTATCTATTTGAACTGTCCGTCATTGGGTACACAGGGAGAAAAATGACAGCATTGCCTGAAAAAACACTGACAAGCTTTAACAATTTTAAATGCAAGTTTAAGACACTGAAAGCTTAAAAACATTTAATTTGTTACTTACTTTATAAACTAAACGCAAAATAGAAGTTCTAGAACTTCTTAGGTGATTTTCATTGCTAAGGAGTTGGGAATCGAATATCTCTATATAATTTAAACATATTTCTCTCTGTGTACCACCACCAAACCTTCTATCTACTTCTCTTCGCCAATCTGTGTGTCCTATCAACAGTTGTCAAGGTTTTGAATGCGATTTTCACCTACTGCCCGCTCAACTCCACTGTTCACTCACTTTCTCTCTGACTCTTTCTAACCTCCTGTGTCTGTCTCTTTCTCCCCGCTTATCGCTGTCTCTCTCACTCCCTCTGCCACCCGTCTATGGGTTGTGGTTTTCATGATTTCGTAGTTGCCTGCGGTTGTCCTCTTTACGTTTAGTTCTTGTTCAAAACCCAACGAAAACCACCCAAGCCCCCACTTTGTTGATAAAGATAAGGATCCTTGGGGGACTATTTATTAAAAAGCATGTGAACTTGAAAAGGACTTGTTGATGTTCTTGTCCTTGTCTGTCTGTGTGTGTGTGTGTTGTTTACTCTTCATCGTTGTTGTTGTTGGCGTATTTAGCTTGTTGTTGTTGCTTTTATTGTGCTTATTATTGTGTGGTTGAACATTTAGGGTCTTAGTTGTCCTGGCCGAAGGCACATCCCTTGCCCCAGTCTACATATCCTTCCATATATCCTCTTTTCCTCTGTGGTTCATGGCTCATAAATTTATTAAACTACCCGTGTTACGTATTCCCGTCTCTCTCTCTGTCTCCTGTTTTCTATTACTATCTGTCTCTGTCCCGGGAAATTTTACAAGTGCCCCATTCGTTTGGCGTTTCCTTGACTTTAAATTGTTGCCATGTTTCCCATATTAAATATGTCGACTCTGGCATTGTCTAACTTTGGTTGGTGCCACGGGGATTCACCACCTACCCCCTGAATTCACTGCTTACTTCAGAGGCTCACTGGGGAATGACCTGAAATTTAATTCGCTGGGGAGTTGTTCATGTTGATTTTTCAACTTGGCTGATTCTTGGCCAAAGTATAAAGTAAACGAATATTGTGTATGAGTGCCTGCCAATTTATGGATAATTAAATGTTTGAACTCCCTAGATGTAGGAAAAGTTTTTCATTGGAATGTTGTAAGATATGCACCCACTTATTTACTCTCCTACATATTTATTCATCCGAAGTCGGTCAAATGATTCCCAATAAAAAGTGCTTCAAATTTAATCATACCCTATTTAAGCAATATTTTAAAGAATGTTTTTCTTAAAATAATGATATACATAAATAATGAAATGTATAATTTAATTGTTAATTTAAATTGTTACAATTGTTAACAATTTTAAAAGAAATAATTTGTTGATGTTTGATGAGTTGACTAAAGCTAAGTTAAGGTGTTGAAAATGTTTTGAAAAACTTTCTATGATGATCTATTAAATGTAGTTCTTATTATATTTTCATAAAACTAAATATATGTTTACGATAACCCAAAACAAGATTTAAGATTGTAAATCCATATTTTTCCATAATAATTTTAGTTCCTTCCCAAAAATTTGTGGCAGTGCCTTGGCCTAAAGTGCGCTGAGCCAGAAATTCTTGGTTTATCTTTTTAGTCATGTTACTTTCCCCGAAATGGAAATCAAATCAAGGCATATTGCCACACAAACACATTAAAACCGAATACCCGTACTTGTACCTTTCGCTGTATGTTCTGTATTTTTTGTGTTCTTCTGTGTTCTCCTGCCCCCGTACACTTTTATGGTATTGACTGACTGTCTGAGTAGTTGCTGGGGCACGACATGGGGCCATCGAAATGCCAATGGCCGGACGAACTTGCAACGTCTGCTGCTCATTATCCGGGCAAAAAGGAAGACGGAAGAGGAGGCGGCTCATCATTATGCCGGATCCTTCGACCCAGTGCTTTCATCATGGAAATTGCCGTCTGCCCGTACTTATGAATATTCCCCCGACCCCCTGCTCTTTTGCTTTTAACAAGACTGCATGTGTTTTTGGGGCACGCAGCCCACGCTGCGTATAAGTGATATGCATTAAGCATACGCAACGTTATCCCACTTTAACTCTTTTCCCCTTTTCCCTCTCTCTGTGTGTGTAATTCGGTGGCACGGCTTTTGTGCATGGCTGTTTGAATTAATTGCATTTTACATAACAATTGCATTTCCACGGAACCGTTTTGTGTTCGACATTTATAAAATAATAAATTACATTTCGTTTAATTACAAAAATATCAACAGAACAAAGTGGTGGTCGTCGATGGGACACGCGTCAAGCTGCAAATCTGGGACACGGCCGGTCAGGAGCGATTCCGAAGCGTTACCCACGCCTACTACCGCGACGCCCATGGTGAGCTAATCCTTTACTTTAAAAAAATCATAAAGAGATAGATAATATATATTATATTTTATTTTATTGCTACACAAGATTTTTAAAAACTAAAAAAAGTGAATAAAAATAGGGTTAGGATTTATATATATCTAAAAAGTTATAAAACATCCAACAATTAGCCATTAAATTAAAGATAAAACCTTATTTACCTTCAGCTATTAATTGATATCCTGTTAAATTATCAAAAAAAGAATTCTCCGAATCCTCTTTAGATGCTAAGTACTATTTTTTCCAAAGGTCTTAAAGTTTGCCGTTCGAGGAATTTTTCTAGAGCCCTATCAATGCGAAAAACAAGTTCTTCTAGGAAATACAGCTAGCATTTCCATTGCAGTGAATTGCACAATACTCCTAACAGGATTTTTCCTGCAGATAAAAGGAAAAGCATTAGCGATTTATTCTTCGAAATGAAAAAAGCCTTGTAAATGCTGAATTTTCTAAAAATCTACAAAAATGGAAACCTTATCCCTCAGCTTTCCCCTAATGACTTTACTTTCTAGAAATGTTTCGTAGTAACTAATAGTTATAAATTCCTTACACATTTAGTATTCAAAATAATTTTATTCAAATTTACTAATAAAATTGGAATTTGTTCCTTTTTTTCGGGTGCATTTCACTGCCACCCCTTTCGACTGCCTGTCCTTTGATCCTAATTTAATTTTTGAACCGAAGCTCTGTTGCTGTTGTACGACGTAACCAACAAGACCACCTACGACAACATCCGCGCCTGGCTGGGCGAAATCCGGGAATACGCGCAGGAGGACGTGGTCATCGTTTTAATAGGTGAGAGATCCGGTTAAAAGGCTTTGATTAAGCTTCATCAACTTACGAGCTTCGGAAAAAATCGAATCCACTTTTCGTTTCGCAGGAAACAAGGCCGACTGCAGCGGCAGCGAGCGGCAGGTGAAGCGGGAGGATGGGGAGCGCTTGGGAAGGGAACACAACGTGCCCTTCATGGAGACCTCGGCCAAGACGGGACTCAACGTGGAGCTGTCCTTCACAGCGGTGGCCAGGTAGGTCCTCCCTTCCAAATGCATCCTTAATTGGTCAAAACTATGTCCTTCAGTAAGGGGAAAATTCAGTGAATAGGGTAACTAGAGTTTCTCTGTGAATTTCTTAGAACTAAATTCTTAATTATTTGTAACAAAGAAAACCTTATTAATTTAAATTATTCTTGAAAATTTTGAAGGCATTTTTCGAGATTTTAAATGCGAAATCCAGATCTCTGTATCTTGAAAAACAAATTCGAGAGTAGTTTCTTCTTGATTTCAAGAACGGAGGAATGACTGGCTATTTCACATCACTGTTGGTTTCTTGATCTTGATTTCAAGATATCTTCATCTTGAAAAACAAATTCGAGAATACTTTCGTCAAGAACAGAAGAATGACCTGCTATTTTACTTCATTGTTAATTTTTGCAAAATATACAGCTCCTTACTTGACTTTCCCCTACCAATCTCCCCAATCTTTTCATTTTCAGGCAGCTGAAGAGTCGCGGCTACGAGCACGGCGATGATGGAAAGTTCAATGTGCATGATTTTGTGCGTGACAATACAAAGGCGCGCTCGGTTTGCGCCCAATGCAGAAATATGTAATTGCAATTGTTATTGGCCAGGTCGCGACTTACAAAAGCCATATCCTCCCGATCCCGCGCACAAAGATAACAATAAACCGGCAGTCAGATCGAAGGGAAGTGGAAGTGAAAGTGGGGCACTCAGAAGGATATAGATATGGATTACTGAAGGATACACGTAGGGCAGAGTCAACCTTCTGCATTTATTGAACAACAAATTAAACACAAAGACACTCGACAAGATGGCACCAATTTTGTAAGAACCTAGTGAGAGGGTAGAGTACTCGGTATGTTTTGTATGTAAATGGGATTTTCGGGGCGGAACGGGACGGGATACGCATAATTTTTTTAGGGCAAGCCATTGGCAATGCATAAGGCATAAGTAGGCCAATCCAATGCATAAATATTGAACAATATATATACATATATACAAATATCCATATACAACTGCATAAATTACTTTAACGAGGGAAAAAGAGAGATAATACCGCAGAGGAAGCGCAGCAAAATCATGCAACATTGAGATTTATCCAGCACGCCGTTGGACTTCGCTGAGGATCGTCTTTATATGTACCTACCGACAACCAACAACTGCAAACCAGTGGAAATCTCGAGAAGTACCAAATCTAATTAATGAGAAACAATCACTCAATTTACCTACTATTAGTTCTATTGTTTTACTCCTAATTGTTAAGTGTTATGGCCTATCGTTAAGTTTTAGACCCACTCGAGGCCCCTGGAAAATTATTTACACACCCCACTTATGAATACCCTACGCAACTAAGTTAATTACTACTACTTACGTCTCATCTACTGTAAGCCCAACCAAAAAAACCCATTCGAAACTATTTTGAGGAGCGCGCCCAGGCGAAGGTTGCGAATAATCAAAGGCAGTTGAACCTATTACTATACTGAGCTACTACAGCGAAAGAAAAAGAATCCGACGCATGCATATATCATGTAAACTAGCTACTAAACAGCGTTATATTCAAGCAGACGTCAAGTCTATACCATAAACAGCAAATACATATTTACATTGAATGTGGTTTAAAAAACGGATGAGTTTTGTGTTTTATTTTTAGATCTATGGAAGGAACCTATTTATAATACAATTTTTCTGTTTCTTATTTTTGAGCTACTTAAAATATTCCTGTAGTAAACTGTATACCCAAATTTTAAAATTTGCCGCCTAAATGGTTAGGTGGATGTGTTCGCTAGTAAAGGTGTCTGCACAGGCCCTGTCGGGAGGATGTCTCCGCTGTCTGGCTGGTGCTATCGATAATTCTCGCAAAAAAATTATCGAGCATCACTGTTACTAGAACATGTGCTCTTGGTTGTCCAAAAAACAAAACAGCGTGAATTGGTTGGAATTTTCTTAATAAATCACCTGCAATCATGGCGGATCATGCGTTTCATCGGCCCGGGCCGCTGAAGCAAGCGAACAAGGCCCACAAAACAGGTCGTCATCGCTCCAAGGGAGCCATAGACAACGCCCAAAAGGGTAAGTGCAAATCTCTCTTCAGGATTTTGGGATCTTGAAGACATCTAATCCACCTGGTGCTCCTTCCCCACAGGAAAGATTGGTCTGAAGGCCATCTCTCACAAGCACAAGCAGCAGCAGCGCAAGGAGCAGCGTCGCAACCAGATGAACCAGCTGCGGAAGAACAAAAGGGAGGAGGTGCTGGAGCAGAAGAGGAAACTGGGTGGTCAGAACACAGCCCCCTTCCTCGTCTGCCTGCTGCCCATGCACGAGCAGATCGATCCTAAGTCCGCGCTGGCCATCCTCCAGAGCTGTGACAGCGAGCTGGTGGTGGAGAACTCCCCAAGTGGCATTGTTTACATGAATCTCCCCCGATTCAAGCAGCGTTTCGCCTTTGTTACTCCGCCTGCGGGTCGTGGAAATGAGCTGATCGCTCTGGATTACCTCAAGGTGTGCGATACCACCCTGCTCCTGACCTCCGCTGCCTTCGGCGATGACGAGATCTTCGATCGCTGGGGACAGCGGATCTTTAATATGATGTCCGCCCAGGGAATACCCACTCCCGTGGTGGCCCTCATGGATCTGGAGTCGATCAATCCCAAGCGACGTCCCGCTGCCAAGCAGGCTGCCCAGAAGATCATCTCCAGGCTGCTGCCCGAGGAGAAGATCATGCAATTGGACACTGCCAGCGAGGGTTTGAATGTGATGCGACGCATAGGCGGCCAGAAGAAGCGCATCCTGCACAACGTGGCCAATCGGCCGCATCTCTTCGGCGATGTGGTGGAGTTCAAACCAAGTTCCGATCCCAGCGACGACCTGGGCACCTTAGAAGTTACTGGTTTCCTCCGCGGACAATCTCTCAACGTGAATGGCTTGGTGCACATTCCTGGACTGGGTGACTTCCAGTTGAGTCAGGTGGTGGCTCCACCAGATCCGTACAAACTGGACAAATCCCGTGATGGTGAGAATGCCGAGGTGCGTCTTCTGGACCGCAGTGATCCCGCAAAGCGCACTTCGCTACAGAGCGAGAACATACCCGATCCCATGGACGCGGAGCAGACGTGGCCCACCGAGGAGGAGATCGCCGCCTCGCAGCAGGAGACCAAAAAGATGAAGCTGGTGAAGCGGGTGCCCAAGGGCTACAGCGAGTACCAGGCCGCATGGATTCCCGATGTCGAGGAGGTGGAGGACCCGGACAGCAAGGAAGACGGTGACATGAGTGACGATGATGGTGATGATGATGATGACGAAGGGGATGATGAGGATTTCATGTCGTGCGAAAACAAATCCTTCAAGGATGAGTACGAGAAGCGGGACTCGGACACAGAGGAGTTTCAGGACAGTGTTTCCGTGGCCTCGGAGGCTGCCGTTAACGACGAGAAGTACGATCAGCAGATGGACTTCCAGGAGGAGCGCGAAACTCTTAAGCAGCTGCAGCAGGCTCGCACTGATCAGCTCTGGCCCGATGAGATTGACACTCCTCTAGATGTGCCTGCCCACGAGAGGTTCCAGAAATATCGCGGCTTGGAGTCCTTCAGGACATCACCTTGGGATGCAAAGGAGAATCTGCCCGCTGACTATGCGCGCATTTATCAATTCCAGAACTTTGATCGCACTAAGCGGAGGATTCTGAACGAAGCCAAGGAGTTTGAGGGTGTGCTGGTAAGGGTTCTTCACAGCTTCAGTTATACAAGTTCATTGTCAAGCTCTTCAATATTTTTAGCCGGGCTTATATGTCACACTCCATGTGATCAATGTGCCTGAAAGCCGTTGGAACGCCTTCAAGTCCGCCCAGCTCACGGACAACATTATTGTCTACGGAATGCTACCTCATGAGCACCAGATGTGCATCATGAACGTCGTCCTGCAGCGGATGCCCGACTCAGAGGTGCCGCTCAAGTCCAAGGAGCAGCTGATTATCCAGTGCGGCTATCGTCGCTTTGTGGTGAACCCAATTTACAGTCAGCACACTAACGGGGATAAGCACAAGGTATGAATTATCATATCCCTTATTTAATAAATGCTTATATAGTATGTTTGTCCAGTTTGAACGCTACTTCCGTCCGTACGAGACCGTTTGCGCCACGTTCTACGCCCCCATTCAGTTCCCTCCGGCAGCCGTGCTGGCCTTCAAGGTGAATCCCGACTCAACGCTGGCGCTGGTGGCCCGTGGACGTCTGCTCTCCTGCAATCCAGATCGCATTGTCCTCAAGCGCGTTGTTCTCAGCGGTCATCCCATGCGGATTAATCGCAAGTCGGCTACAATCCGATACATGTTCTTCTACAAGGAGGATGTGGAGTACTTCAAGCCGGTGAAACTAAGGACCAAGTGCGGTCGAATGGGACACATCAAGGAGTCGCTGGGCACGCACGGTCACATGAAGTGCTACTTCGATGGCCAGCTGCGATCCTATGACACTGCTTTCATGTACCTGTACAAGCGAGTCTTCCCCAAGTGGACGTACGAGGAGTGCCTGGTGCGAACGGCAGAGCACGAGCGACAACATGCGGCGGCGAACAGAAGGACCTCGCAACAGATAGCCATGGAAGAGTAAGGGTATTTATATCGATGGATATAATAAGTAATCGTTGGGAAATTGGAATCCCTTTTGAAAATATTTTATATTCTTGATGTCCCATCCGAAAAGTACATAAAAGATGTACAAAAAACCCGCATCCATCGTTATTTATATATGACTGCGTTGTATAATAGGAATAATAGAATTATATTCACAAACAATTGTCTTAACTTAAAGGTAGAGGCAATACAATATACATACATAAAACATGGATACGTTTAAAAGCTTGCCGCATTGCACAAGGATCAAGGATCGGTCGGGCTCTCATATATGGCTAATACAGTTTTGTGGCTAGGATTGGGTAGGGGGTAAGGGGTAGGGTATATAATAGGGACTAAGGGTATTCAGTAGTTGGTAGACAGACACTTGCGCCGCTTCTTTTGCAGCTGCTCGATCTGTTCGCTTATTTGGATGGGTGTTTGGAAACCTCTGACAATGCTGTTAACGGTCAGAACCGTGGCTATAAACTGGCTGATGGATATGTGCCAGGACTCGGAAATGTTTGTGCTACTGCTGCTGCTGTCACCGCTGCTGGTCGTTGTGGTCCTGGCCTTGCCGCTCGCCTGGCGCAGCTCCTCCTCCAGGGCCACAAAGAGGCGGGTGGTGCCAATGGGTTCTGCTGCGGGTGTGGTGGGATTGCCATTGCTATCCGGTTGCTGGGGAAAGTTATTGTATACGGGTCATTAACAGTCTTTCGAAAGATTGAGTAGGACGACTTACCTCATCGCCTCCCATATTCAGCTGGGTAAAACTCTCCAGGCTGGGCTCCTTCTTAATGTTGCTGTTACCCAGCTCCAAGAGATTCTCATCTGAAAAGCAAAGAGGGTTTAAAATGGGTTCTATCTATAGAAAAAACGTTTACTTACAAGCCCTTTGCATCTCTTCATCCTGGACAAGGCCCATGATCTCTATGATGCTGCGCCACAACAGCTGGAAATTCTCCTTACGCATGTGCGGAATGCTGTGCTGCGAACTGGACGCACCCTCATCCGGCTGGTCCAGCAGATAGCCGAGACTGCCCAGGCTCCGCAAATCCGTGGCATTCGAGTCGGCGCGCTCTAGTCGCGTGGCTGCAACCAGGTCGCTGATCTGTGAGAAATTCGATATAGTCTCGACATTCAGAAGCATGTGATCGGCGGCCGCAGCCGAGGCTGCTCCGGCTGCCGCATCCGCTCCCACTCCCGCTCCGGGCGGCGTCATGCGAGCCGCTCCCAGATCTGAAATATCCGAAAATGTGTCAATCGATTCGTAACGGCCCTGCTGGCGAAGCTCTCTCTGGAGCTCGTCTTCGTCCCGCCCAGCATCTGTGGATGGTGCAGTACCCTGGAGAGCCGGCAGGTCCACGTAGAAGGTTGAGCTGCGCTGCGCCAACGAAGAGGTGTTGGAGTTCAGCGAGAGATTTGGCGTGCGCGACAGGTCCATGAACGTGTTGCCCGAGATTCCGGCCAGGTTGTGCAGGTGCTGGGTGGCACTGATCAGGGCAAAGTCGTCGGCATCAAAGTTGTGATCCGAGGGCGAGGGCAACGCCTCCATCGACTCTGAGGCATCGTTGCTGCAAATATATTAAATTGGATAATTTGGTTGGTTTTCTAGTCGAATTAAACACTCACTCAAAGAAATCCTCCGCCTCAAAGGCCTCCTCAGCATCGTCTTTGGTGCGGGGACGCGGGCGCCGAGATCTTTCTATCTCCGCCTTGGACAAGAGAGGCGGCAGGTGCAGAACAAACAGCAGCTTTAGCTTCTCCATGTTCTTATTGGAGCAGACCAGGCCCAAGGCGTTGATGAGCTGACCAAAGTCAAGAGCACCAGTGCCTCTTTTATCTGTGAGCTGGAGGAAGAGTTAAAGAACTTACTGATTTATTCAAAATCAAACTCCGACTTATAACTTACCCTGAACAACTTTTCGCCAATGTCAACGCTGACGCACTTCCGCCATGGTGTTAGCTCCGTAAAAAGTGTGTGGAACACCTCGTAGTTGACACTGTACGCCTCGTGCCTGCTTCCTGAGGCGCTCGCATCGTGGGTAGCTCTGCCAGGTGACTGCGGCACCAGCTGGGGCACCTCCGACAGGGGACATGGGGCCTTCTGCTGCTGTTGTTGCAGGGATTTAAGGGCGTGCTTCTCTTCTCGGATAATGGTAAGCAGCATGTGCAGCTCACTGCGGGTGAAATACGAATTCTGGACATAGGCCTTAACAATGGTCTTCTCGTTGTCAATATCGAACTGTCGCATGGTCAACCGACGATGCTTGTTGCGCAGTTCCTCGATGCGTTGCTGGGTTATCTCTTCGCCGAACTTGGTGTACGCCTCGTGAATCAGAGTCTGCACCGTTTGCGTTTGGACTTTGCGCTCCTGCTTCCGTTTGTCCGTCGTGGGAGGAACCTGGTACTCCGGGTTGTAGATACCCTCCAGATAGTTCTGCAAAACCAACATGGCTTCGCCATCATCCTGGCACTGCAGCAGCTTTTCCCTGTTCCACTCGATGATCTGCAGCGAGATCATGAATATGATCTTGGCGCCCTCGTAGAAAAAGCAGTCCAGGATGTGCAGAGAGCTCTCGTAGCTGATCACGCTCATGAAGATGGTCAGGAACCAGGAGATGGAGATCATCTTGATCACATCAAGCTGCTCCAGGTGACCATGCAAATCAGCCAGATGCGTCTGCACCAGCTCGTTGAGCACGCCCTGGTCGATCTGGGCGCCCACCACCTTATCCTTGTAGTAGTCCGGCAGTAGGTTTTCACACAGGCTGGCCAGCATCCAGAATGCGTTCTCCTCGTCGCAGAACAGCAGGAACACGGACGACACAATGTTCATGGCCTGGCAGTAGCCCACCTGCGGGTTGCGCAGTACATAGGCCTGCAGGACTCTTCTCAGAGCTCCAATGCCATCGGTGCTTTGGAATGCCGGATGCTCGGGTAGCGAACGCGGCAAATCCCGATCGATTTCGTCATGGGCAAAGCAGTTCTTGATGCAGGCCGCCTTCTCTACCAAATCCTCATACAGTCCGGGATTCATCTCCTTGTCGTGAATCGCCCCGGAGAAGATCAGCCAGATCTCCTGACGCAACTTGTCGGGAATGCCCTCCACTATCAGATTTATCACGTCCGTGGTGCGGAACATCCCGATGCCGCGTCCAAAGTCGCGGAAATGTGCCTCCCAGCGCACCATCTTTTCCTCTTGTTTTTGTATGATCTCCGAGCTGAACTGCGTCTTAAAGGTGTTCATCAGAGCGGTCTGCTTGCTCCATGAAATATCGTATTTGGCCCGCTCGCGACTAACAGGACTAAAGAAAGTCTTTTTAACTACTAAGCTTCATTATTAAATTGCTTTACTTACACATGAATTCGTGCGAGAAGATCTGTGATCTTGGAGATCAGCACATCTCTGTCCACGATATGAGCAAACATGAAAGGCACATTCTCTGATGTAATGATGACAATTTGATTTTCGAACCGTTGTTGTCCATCATCCTTCTTCTCCACACTCTGCAAAAGAGATTATAAATCAAACTTCCTATCGAAATGTAGGGCCTTTTAAACACTCACCTTAATGGTCTTCATGGGTATAACCACGCTGACCAAATCCTTTACATCGCTACGAAAGCAAAAAAAATTCGGCGAGAGATAGATGAAGCCGGAATTAAACCTCTTTGAGTAAGGTGTCCAAATGTTTGCCTTAATTTTTCCGTCGATTATCTCCGACTGTGGCAGTCGGAAATAGATGCGAAACTCTTCGGATTTCTGGCGTGCTGTCAAATCCCGCAGGAGCACGGGCTTCTTGGATGTTTTGGCACCCAGCCGTGCAAAATTCGAAGTATCGTGGTCGACCACTGGACTGTCGGGATCATGGATCAGTTGCTGAATGGCCATTTTGTTGAGCTGCTCGATCAACTGATGTGCCTCGCTGGCGTTGAAGAGCATTGTGAAGTTGTAGGTCATGTTGTTGGTGGTCTTCAGATAGATGGTATTGGCATTTCGGCTGATGTCCTCCAGTTCCGCAAAGCGTATAATGCGCTTTATCTCCTGACCCAGCATATACGAGTAGAAGCAAACGTGGTTCAGGGAAATGTAAAGCTGACCCTGTCTCGGGATCTTATTCTTCACATATCTAAAATCAAACATCAAGTGAGTTTTATTTTCAAATATTAAGTGAATTTCTAAACTTACGTGGCCGAGTAGGAGTTTACAAGTCGCTCTTCCTCGGGCATTTTGAAAATCTGCCTGAACTTTGATTTCATCACCTTGAAATCGGCTGATTCGCCGGAGTCATCTTGGTTGTTTTGCGTGTACAGAGATTGGATCTTGCATATGGTGAAGTTGGTCACCTCGTCCTCGTTCTCCATCTCGTCCAGCACTTTAAAGAGATTTGCCTGCAGCCATTCCCAGTCCTTGACTATCTCATCTTGGGTAATGCCAATGGCGATTTCTGCGGGGATAGGTTATAATCAATCAATAAAAGGAGGTATATAAGATAAACTTGTTATGGTTATTACATGTCCAAAATGTTTTATATATTGACGTTATCGTTTTAAATGGAATACTATATACAGACGCATTGCTTAAAACCCCATATCAGCATAGTTTTGTGGTTTTACATATTGTGAAACTAAGATTACAGTTTACAGGGCTAAGCATTGAAAAATAAAAAAAGGGAGCCGAATTATAAAAGTTCTTGCTGCTTTGATAAAGTCTCCTGAGGTTTTTCGAATTCCAAGTTCCCTACTCCAGCCCCATCCTTCTTTTCTTAATACAAAGCAAATTAAATAACAAAAGAAATGAGCCAGCCTCCGCAGCTTTTGTAATCAGCCTCGTTCTCCGTTTACGTAAGCGCAGCGAGGGAACCGTAGATGAAAGAAATATTGGCATACTCCCATAAAAGCGAGGCGAAACCCGATGATTCACGGTCACATACAGCTGGGCCTAGACTCGAGGAACTGGAACTGATAAAGCGGATGAGTGCGAGTTGTTGAACCTACCGTAAGACACCTCCGATGAGGGCGTCTGGTGGAGGATGCGATAGGGAGCCGGCTTGGTGTTCATCACGCTGTCGTAGGTTCCCACCAGCATGGATCCAAAGCCACGGGATTCCCCATGACCACGTCGCTTCTGCAGGACAAAGTATCGCGAGTGCATCTCGGCAATCCTGTGGGCGAAACGGGTTTTTACAATCGGTTCAAAATGGAGGTGGACTGGCCCCACTTTATAGGGAATTTTCTAGGAGGTGGGGTGTGGGGTCTCTTTTTTTACGCAGCAGGAAACAGTTGGAAATCAATTTTCAAGCTGCTGCTGTTGCTGACTTTACACAGCTGCCTCTTTTTGCGTTGCGAAATCAGAACCGAGCCAAAGAAGTCTTGAACTTTTGGCTCAATTAGTTATCAACGAATGCAATTAAGTCGTTTATGCGTAGTCGCAATTCCAGATCGAGGGGTCTCCTGGCGGCCTGCACTTCGTGATAATCGCATTCCATGAGACACCTTCCATAAACACAACAACAACATTGCATATACACATTGCCATCCACATTTATCCCACCCACACACTCAAGCGGGCATGTTTAATTTGGGTTTTCGGCTTTCGTTAGATTTGACCCCGCGTTGGGGTCACCACTCACCAGAATGCCGAGGGCAGGAGCAGCTCCTTGGGCTGAATCCACATCTTGATCGGTTTCGGCCCGTGCGAGGCAGAAAAACAGAAAATTATTCTTTGTTTAATACTGCATCGAGCGCTGATTGTTTTTTTTTGCAGCAAGTGTGGCCGTTGCTCAGATAGTGGAACAATCCCTTAAGAACGAAGCCATCTATTGTGAATGGATGCTGAGGGCGGGAAATTTGAATTTATTTTTTTGATTAAGATTAAAGCTATTTAAAAATATTCTATTAGATAACAAAAATATTCTTGTAAAAGAACAACTTTTATTTAGTGCTATTATTTTAAATATATTTTAGTTGTTTAGTGATGAACTGGTAAAGAATAAGCTTTTAAAATCTTATTAGAAACCATATATAATTTGTAAAGTAAACCATGCCTTTCTTTTAACACCAAACCAAACATAAACTATTCACTTGTATGACTTATTCGAAACATAACGAACGTGTCGTGCTACAAAATTACTAGTTTTATTCCCAACTCCTGCAAAATCGTTAGTGTTTTGCAAAAATGTTGAAAAAATTCGTGGAAGTGAATGCGGAGTGCAGTCCATCCGCAAATCCGTATGAGGTACGGACGTTTCTTGGTAACGAAACATCGCCGGAATGGAAGGCGGAGAACTGTCCGCCCCGCGATCGCGTTTGCCAGAAGAAGCCGCCCAATTCCACGATCTCCCAAGTGATGACCATCGAGGATGAGCTGCGTCGCATCCACCAGAAGGCGGAGGAGTCCCGCTTCATTAGGCCCTACAAGAAACAATGTGCCCTCTACGATGAGTACACCATGTGCATCATACCACAACGAACTCCGGCGGAGCTGAAAACGCACGCCGAGATGCGAGAGCGCCTGCTGGCCGCCCGCAAGGATTTTGGGTTGGTGGAGCACGACGCCAGGGTGGATAGGACGTGTCCCAAGGACCTGGTGGTTCTCAACAGTCCCATGGACATGGGCGAGGAGGAGCAGCAGGCCGAGGAAGGCGAGGAGGAGGAGGAGGGTGAGGTCAAGCCACAACTAGCCACTCCCGAATGCAGCTCGGACATGATCATAATTCCGGACAAGCGCATGGTAAGTAAAGATTTTCCCATGGAAATAGTTAGAACTTGGGGATTAGCCAATTTTAACGTTTATATCATAAGCAGTGCTTGTTTATTTAAAACTAGTTGAAACGTAAGCTCTCTTAAAAACTCAACTAAAATCTTCAGTATTACTAAGTACTTTCGTAATGAAATAAATCAAATCACTTTTAAGTGTATAGATCATAAATACTAGACGACTAAATTATGGCATTGAAGCTTAGGCTAGCTAAGAATTGGTTTCCATTTGGCGTTCCTACTCGATCAACTCGATGTCATCGATATCTGCGTAAATGGTGCCCGGTGGCAGTTCTGGCAGGAAGTTAGTTCCCGAATCCGTTTGTGGATCGCCACCTGCATTCGTCGTCGCCAGCGACAGTGCGCGATAAGCTCCAGAAACAGCCTGCTGCTGCATATGCACGCCCAGCTGGGAGATGAGTTCCAATGCCTGGACATCAGAGTTCATCAGAGCGAACTGGTGGATGATGGCCAGGTGGGGGAAAACGCCATTCAGCAGGGTGCTGGTGCCGGCGTTCATTTGATCCTCTGTGTTTTCCTGGCCTTCCGGGGGAGAGACTGCTTCCTCCTCCTCCTCCTCATCTGGCGTGCTGCCTGGTGAGGCCATCATGGTGGGCTCACAGGTGACCATCTCCACTCCATCATCCTCCTCGAGGTGATCTGACATCAGGCTGTTCTCACTAGAGAGATTAACGAAATCTGGTACAACAGGTCCTTTAGACACACCCTCAGCGGGTTCAGCCAACTCGCGTTGCATAAAATTGGGCAGGGCATGCTTGAACTCCACAATGATGTCCTCGACAGGCAGATCCTGGTTTAAGGGGTTCTCTCCCTGGTAGCCCAATTCATCGGCCTCGTACTTGTACTTTCCACGGAATCGGTTTAGCCACCGATAGGAGGGTCTAAAGGATGGCAGGTTTAAAACTGCGGCCATTCTGATAGCTGTTTCCTTGAGTTTTTGATTCCGAATGCTTATGTTCAAGTGGAGTTGGGTGCATCTTTCTACCCATTCGTGTAGAAGGAAACTAATGGCACTCATCTCGAACTTACGGCGCTTGCGCGTCATCTCCTCAATTATAATAGAGGCATCGGCTTCGCTCAAGGTGGCCAATTGTTGGAGCAGATCCTTTTTCTTGTCCAGGATTCGGCGAATTTGTGTGGCGCAGCAGTGAAACATTTTGGCCAGACTGTTTCTCGAAATATTGGTCTCCTCGTAGTAACGGATCACGGCTATCTTCTCGTAGAAAGTTAGGATATTACGCTCATTTCGACGGGATTTAATCTATGGAAAGAGAGATAGAGATTACAAATTTAGCATTTTATAAAGTTGTCATGCCTTATTGACTAGAAATTATTTCAGTTAAAATTACAAAAAATATATTTTCTTTATAGAACTTCTAAATATTTAAATATTCTAGCTATAGTATCTAATAAAATGAAAATCTTGTTATACATTTATCAGATTTCGATTATTAAAATCATTTTAAATCCTTAAAAAGATTAACATAACATTAGAGTAAGTGGATTTTCTCCTATGGCATTTAAAGGTTTTCGTTGTCCTGTTTTTAGATATGAAATACAAAATAATATAATAAAATACTGTTACTCCTTAAAATGTCCTTAAGAAGACAACAAATTGATCGATCATACAGGTCCTGTATGTAATGTCATATGGCTTTGGAAACAAGGACTTCTGTTTACGTAGATACGTCCTTAGTTCCAAGCACAATGTTTAAGGGTAAATAATCGTCCTTCGATTTACATACATACATACATTCATATACATACATACATATGTACAACGTATATTTCCAGTTTAGGCGCGTGCTTGTCTGATGGCCGCGTGTCCACTTGAGGCAAGTTGTAAAATCCACCCTCGGCGGACCGCTTAAAGGCCACGTTAACAAACATATCTGGCTTCCCCTCGGACTACTTACCCCTTTGTTGTTGTTGTTGCGACGCAACGTGGTTGTTGGTAATGCCGCAATAGCTGCCATTTCATTAGTAGTTTTAACTAAATTTTAGTTATCCGCTCTTTCTCTTTCTCCTCCTTATCCTCCTTTGTCTCTTCTTGTTTTTCGCTAACTGCGCAACAGCTTCTTGCGCTGTTGTTGTTGCTCCGCTCTCTCGCCAAAAAGATCATGCGTCACAGGGCGAGTGTGTGTGTGAGTGACTCCTTTGAAGCTGCCATAATGAAATATCGCAATAAAACAGAAATAAAAGCATTATTAATACCGTCCATGCAAATTGCAAAACCTTTATTAGTCACTTTTTATGAGTGTTGGCACGGCACGTTCTCGAATTCGCTTTGGCTCTACATTAGCTTTTGTTGTTGCGGCTCTGACATTTTTACAATTACTGAGTAATAACACACTTGTGTGCCTGTTTTTCGGTTCCGCTCTTCGCCCCTGCAAATGTGTGTGTGCGTTCTTTGCGCGCTCCGTATGAAATAAAAGCGGTTCACTATGCTCAGTCCCTTTTGCGTGGTGTTTGTTGTTGTAGCAACACAAACGACACTTGCAGCTGTTACTGTGCACAGTGCAGGTCAAAATATTAGTGGCTTTCACTACAAACAAGATGTAGCAGTTGAACCATATAAAAAACATTTTATCTCTACCCTATTGCACATTGCAGGTCAAAATATTAGTGGCTTCACTATAACAAGATCTAATAGCTTGCAATTGCTTTCTTTCTCTTCATCCTATTGGCTAGTGCGAGTTATAAGACTAGTGGCTTTATCTTAAAAAAAACCCAAGACCCCGAACTTATCATTTACACCACTAAACAAAGGTCTTAGTTCACTTGATTGCCGGTTTCGGATTGGAGCAGATAAGAAGTAATTCTTGGGTACACAAAAGCATGCAACAGAATATTTGGAATGCCTAAAGTTACTATAAATAGCACACAAACAGTATCGGGTGATAGACAAAATCTACTGATAAATCAATTTTTTTTAAATATGATATCCTATAGAATCATTTTTTAAATTGTATAAACTTTATCAAATTTAAAATTTATTAGAAGTTATGAAATGTTGCGTACTGTTTAAAGATATCAAGGATATTTTAAGTAGTCAAGCATCCAGCTTAAAAAATTAAGATTAATCAAAGGAGATAAGCCAGGATTTGATGCGATAGGGGACGGAAGTTTGTTAAAAAGATTTTATTTAACCCAAATCAAATCAAATCAGTTTTAAAATACCATTGGGCTTTTTATATATTTATTTATATCTTTATTTATCCCACCGGGCAAATGCCACTATGCTTTTGACCGCAGCTGTGAGCGTTGTTGGTCTAGTGCATTGTGCAGTGGCCATATGCAAAAGCAGTGCGGTTGCAGTCGCCTCGCTTTTGTTTCATTTGCGTTTGCGTTTTCCGCGTATGCTGTTCGGTACGTCTCAATTGTTGCAGTGAGGGGGCGTGGGTGGTGCCAGGAGGGGGTGGCAAGGCTACATGCTGGGTTAACGACTAAAATCCGATTCCTATTCGCTTGGCTCGCTGCAGAAACCTCTCTCTATCTTGGCTAATTAACTTTGCGTCGGAGATAAGAGCCTTTCTACTCTTCGAACGATTCGTTTGCTACTCGAAGTGATATAATCGCTCTCATATGTTTTATTGGTGTTCATAGCTGGCCTCTTATCAATAGACATGGAGCAATTCTGATTCATATATGTATGATCTTTTGGGTTAAATCTGGTTATTAAAGGAATTTCCCAAAAAAGTAATTGGACAAAAATAATATCAGTTGCTTATGGTTTGCATTCAACAAGATAATAATTTGGACTTCCCAGTTTATTTTGATTTTCATGTCTAGTTTTAACAACTTTAAAGTATTATTATAAAGGATATACATTTTTTGGTACCCAAAAAAAATCGTTTTACTTAAAACTTAAATGTTATTTTTATTAGTTCAGAGACCCCCTTTTGGAACCGCCTCTTTTTTGCAGCCATTCCCTTTTTTCAGGGGCGCCGCCTGCGGTCGTTTGTTTGCTCTACACTTTAGTTTGGCATCCATACATGTGTACCTGAGTTTTCGTTGGGCAGCTGCACCTGGCAAATACCAATTTTAATTCGAATTCAAAGCCATCACCGAGATTGCTATTGCAGCCTCAGCATATTTGATGGAAACAGCTGCCTTTAAGTTGATTAGTTCATCGGTTCCTTTTACAGATATTCAAACTAAGGCCACGTGGACTTGTTACATATTTTTAGAAAGGGGGTTCTAAAGTGTGATCTGGACAGCTTATTTATAAGCAATAATCACCATGACCTTGAAATTAAGGATAATCCTTTTACTGATCAAGTTGCTATTGATATGATATATTGAAAACATATCCTTACAACATATAACTTTAAAAATGTAATAAAAATAAATATATCTTCTCAAAGTACTGGTCGTAATGTAAAATACAACCCATAAAGCACATGCTTTACCGTACCAACGCAATAATTAAGTGGACATCCCATCAGCACACCTGTCTTTGGCAAGATCTCACCGTCTGCAGGCCCCGCCAAAGCCCCAGCTCCCCGGCCCCAACGTAACCCTACCTAGTTTGACATTTTGCCAGCGCGCCTATTCAAGAGGGTTGCGTAGTTGGAATTGGAACCAACTTGTACTGTTGGCAACTGCGCTTTGGTATTGGTATTGACGTGGTAGTCGTATGTCGTATGCTATAACTGCGCGATACTGCGCCGCTCACCTGGTTCACCTGGTCCGTCGCTGTACTATATGTCTCGATTTGTAGTTGTTGTTGTTGCTGCAGCAACAGCAACAGCACGCTACTAGATGACTTGTTTGTTCTACAGCCGAGGCAGCTTCGTATTTGCTCGGGGGTCCGGGTTTCTGGTCTCGGGTTAGTCGGTTTTGGTTGGGTTTTTGGCTTTTGGTCGAACGAGAGCGATAAGATTCCGTGATGTGGCACTAAGCGCTGTTCGTTGTTTACTGCTCTGTGCATGGGACGCCTCTGTTGTTTGGTGGCCGTCATCGTGGCCAGCCAGCCATAGAGGCACACTCACCAACACGGACGCACCCCGAACCCATACACACGAACACCATAATGCCATATACCGCATATAGCGCGGCGACATCAGGTCGTTATAGTCAGTCTAGTTGGCATTTCGTGCTTACCTTATGCCGCTAACTAACTTCTTGATGAGCGCAGAGAAATAACACAGAGGAGGAAGCAAGAAAAAAACAGGCCTCCCGTAAATACCATAACATGCCATACCATACCATACAATACAATACCATATCGTACCACACCAAGACCAAGAGAAACACAAACGCCTCCTATATACGGGGCGTCGGGCATCGGGCATCGGGCATCGGTGGCGTATGCGTGCTATTTTCAGCCGCATTAAAAGCTTATGGCCATGGCCAGGAAAACAGAGTCGCCGAGTGAAAGCACAGAGCTTGCACAGAGCCAAGCGCTGATAACTGGCCATATGTTATCCAATCGCCAGTCAAGACTATTGGGTCTCTGAATAATTCAATTGTCCCGGCCATATCCTCACTTTATTTGGGTTACACTACACCTTTTGTCGCCAAACTGCACAAGGGGAAAAGTTTTTCAAGGAAATTTATTGCTTAATTATTAAACTATCATTTTCAAGCCCTTGAAAATACGATAATGTCGTAGTAAACTAGGGTTGGGCTTGTTATAAAAGAAAGGATTATTATAAGTAATTATCTTATTCATATTCCCATCTAATATGATTTGATAATAAATTAAATAAAACTTTCTTCTGTTCGTAAATATGGTTTAAGGATTGAAACACACATCTCTAAGTATCCATTCTGGCGCCTAAGCTTTTTTCTCTGTAATTGCTTATTTAAAATTTATATTGCGTTAAATAAGTAATGATATAATTTTCTCGCGCAGTTGGAGCTAAAACGTCCCAAGAGTCGTATCTACTTAAACGAGACTGAAGTTGGCCCCCTGGAGGAGTTGCCTTTCCCCTCTTACAATCCGCGTGTCCTGCAAGAAGGCTTAGAGGGAGAGAACCTCAAGACATACGATATCATCGAGGGCTGCAGCCCACAGGATCTGTGGACCTGGAATGTGGGCTATCAGAAGCGGGAAGAGAATTTAGACCAGGATTTCATCGCCGCCTCTCTGCCCAAATATGGTGTGTAGGGAACTTTCCAGCCCTCAGATCATTCCTATTTTAATCTAGCTTCATCGAAATTTTGCAGAAAACGACGGCGAACTTACGCTCTATAATATACCCCAGCAGCTGGAGAAGACTTTCACCGCTGAGATTGTGTTCGGAAATCGAAATATCTATCCGGAACCAAAGCAGGAGTCTTACCGATTGCAGTGAGTGTCTAACTATTCTATTCTATGTTGTATTTCCTAATAAAATGTTGGATAGATTCTAAAGGTTCTCTTTTAAAAATAATATCTTATCTAGATACTATAATCGACCCAGTGAGATCGGCGCCATTATAGTAGCCTTCGTGGAGAGCTTTCGTTTGAACCCAGATTTCTGGACAGCAGCTACCATGGATGGTATCCTGAAACGTGGAGTGAAGTTGACCAAAAAGAGCGCCGATCTGAACTACAAATCGGAGACGAATGATTTTGACATTATTGAACAGGTGGTGGAACGGGATGCTGCCGTGGAGATTAAGATCCACTTCTCAGGACTTCTTAAGAACGAACCGAATATGTTCAAAGCTCTTTCACTATTTTTTTCTAAATACAATGCATGTATTTTTACATCCCGTGATCTATTTCTGCTGATCTGGAAGCGCTGCTTAAACTCGTACTATATCTTTGATCCCAACGGACGGGATGAGGACTGTGAACGGGATTTCGAGGACGGCAAGTGCTCACTGATGGCTACTCGCTATACGGAGCATTTGGTGCACCTGATTACCAAGTTCAGTGATCTACAGCCGCAGGATGAGTTCAATATCTTCGAGATATCTTTGACCCAGTACGGAAAACTGAAGGAGCCACCCATAAAGGCGGCGGAGAACGAGGAGTTCCATAAACTCTGGGCCGTGGTCAATGAGAACTTTGCGGTGAAAACAGCAGCAACGGGTGGAATTCACCAGCCCATATCCGGCAATGAGAAGAATGCTTCGCTGGTGGTAGCCTTAATAGCTCTTATTTACTCGGAATTCGAGCTTGCTAAGCTGTGGAAACCTGGTACTGTGGATGATATCATAAGGTATGGCGTTGCGTACTATAAAACCCTGCGTAAGAAGTTCCGCCTGGATGGAAAGCGATGGAAGAACAAGAAGCCCCATTTGAATGTGGTGGATCTGCCGGAAATGTTCCTTATGGGTGCTTTTAAGGCCACGGTTCGAAAGCATCCCTTTATGATCAATGGTCATGTGGCGGACTGCAAAAGCTACTTGGAATCCCAGCTAACTATGGCTCTGCATCAGTTGTTCAACATGCCCCAGTGGCCATCGGCACTGCTCCAGATCGATAATTCAGTAATGGCCGTATGGCGGGACAGGGAATTCTTCTACGTATTCGATCCCTTTCGGCGAAATCGAACTGGTCTAGTGGTGGATCCCGATGACTATACCATCAAGGGTCTAGCCGTACTGCAAATGCACGCCACCTTTGACTCCTTTGTCCGGGTGATCTACATGAATGCCTTAAAGATGCGACGTGGTGGCAAGTTCTTTATCCATGGGATCAGGACGGGTTGCATTCGCCCGTTGCAGGTAATGACCCCGCAGACGAACAAGTTTCCGGGTCTGCAAATGGGTCTGCCCACATTCACAGATGAACCACCTATGCCGGAACTGAAGCAGAAGAAGAGTATCGAGAGTATTCCGGAGGAGGATCGCTTCCCCACGGTCGATGAGAAGGAGATGGTGGAGGAACTGATCAACATGATCATCAATAG